TAGAAATGTAATTCCATCGTATTTCGAAGTTATTTCAAATCCACTAATCAATGTAGCTTTCAACCACCATCTCTTTTTCCACACAAAACGGCCAAATTTACCGACAAAACGCCTTTATCAACGTAAGTAATGAGAGTGAACAAGAGGGAACTCATGAGTGGCCACCCTGAACCTCTTTTACTGCAATTGGTAGATCACTTCCTCAAATTTGAACTGGATAATGAAATAGTGAGATATTCAGATGAGTGATCCCCATTTCGTTTCTTCCTTTGTCTTGAAGCACGTGTTTAGGCTGTTTAATTTACGACAGAAGCACAAAATCGCAACACCACAAGCATACTGCCTTATTATCCCAATTGCAAAATGATTCTTTTTGCGTGGGAGGAGAAAATTTCAATTTGCAATATATTGTCTCGATATTTCTTTGTGAATCAAGTAAAAATTCTTTACAAATTCAGCTATAATCTAGACTTTAATATTGCAAAAATCACATCGATTGCTTTGCTCTCTTTTAACTGAATTAAACACGAATTATGCAGGGCGTTTCATGTGAACCATTGCTTTATTCATGTCAAGTTTTTCTAATTCCTGATAGTCATTTTATGCATTTTAGTCAGTTGAATTTGCGCAGGTCAGACAATTAAGGCCAATGAAAAGAACCCTGAAAGTTACCGGGACAAAGCAGTAAATAAGCTGGTTACAATCGGTATACTTCGGTCAGATTTCGTGAAAGAGGAAGGGATTTATTTCGCGATAAACACGCGAAAAGGAGTCGATTTGATTCACATCCTCATAAAGTCTAATTTAGAAGTCAGGGTTGGCAACGGTTGAAATGCAATTTATCATTACAGACATAAGTAACCAAAGCGTAATCGATTAAGAGCCCAACTGAAAGCGTCTTTGTGTAAATTCTGCATGCACACAAGATAAACACACACACACACACATACACTTTCTATTCAGACACCGTCCTCTTCACTCAATTTTTTCCATTCATACTGGTCAACCACTTTTGTCTATTCATAATAACTGCCAATTTCTTGCATTTCGAATGTCCAGCTGTCTTCTTCTACACCTCCCCCTACCTTGTAGTCTTGTAGGTGTCGGAAGCATGGAGGGTCAACGCCTTCTTCTTAATTAATCGTCATATTACTTCGCATGCCCGATGGTTAAATTAATCTTAGGTGATCTACTAAAGTTCTCATTATACACGAGATTTATAATGACCTTCTGCAATCATTATTTGTCTTATACCATTGTGTAAATTCAAGCCATGTATAAAAACAAGCCGTTGTAAGCCGCGTTGGTAAACATGGGAGAGGCTACTTAATGTGATCTGGAAAGAAGCCTTCAGTCGAGGTTGTTGAAGAGAAGCAATTCTCTGAGAACCCTATTTGTTCCACTTAATGTTCAATATAAACACTGATTTAAACAAGGTTGCCACTTCCTCAACATCTACCCCCAACTCTGCTATTGCTAATGCAACAAATTGGAGTGCATATTATGGTTAAAAGATAAGTAAATTATTAATAAAACGTAAAGGGTGTGATAAGAGGGTATTTCATTTCTGTATTTAAAGCATGAAATGTAAAAATATGACAATTAATCCTCCCACCAATTGAAAAGTCGTGTCATGTTTACTTGCCAAATGTGGGATATAGTAAGCATGTTTGTACACGATAATAGATATTAATCAGTTTACTAGATAAGATGTTGGAATCCAACCGTAAAAAATGAATGTGCAGGAATTATGATGGAGGAGAGAATGAATTCACTCAACCAGAGAAGTTGGATTTGAGATGCAGTGAAACGAACACCGAATGTGATCGTTATTGATATTTTCGCATTGAAAGGAGTTAGTTAGTCTTTGTTAAAACATGTATGAGAACCAGGGTTGCTATTGGTTGGTTGCAGATTTGACGGTTTATTCGAGGATAATGTATTGCCATACTTGGTGGAGAATAAGACACATAGTTTTAATTGAAAGAGCTTAATGTTCTAGTTAATTGTGGGAGAATACCAATGAAATAGGCGACAAGGGATTCATGTTAGGCCTATTCATTGATATTTAATTCCAAATAATATTAAATTTTAAGGTGGAAATTGAAACTGGACTTGACTGTTTCAAATAATTATACCGCACAAATAAACCCAAGTGGGCTTGATTTCATTAAGAATGAAGTGTCTATTTGATTTTTTTGATTCTAACACGAATTCGATTGTCTTGAGTTTAAATAACATGTTTCGTGTTAAATATGATAATCGTATCACCCTTATTGAAGGCATCTGTAATCCAATAAAATAGAAATACTTCATGAAGCAAAAGAATCCCGTTACCATCAAAATTTTCAATTGTACAAAGGAGGTAACAATAAGAAACTCTAACTTATGGAAAGGCATTAGCAAGTTGAAAGAGTATTCCTTGTCCTTCTACACGGGTACATTGTGACAACTTCCTCAAATACCCTTCCCAAAAATAAAATAATTAGAAGCCTCCATAACAAAAATTTGGTATTGCATTTACAAAAGATTTGCTTTAAACATATGAAACAATTTATATATTTCAAATAAACGTCAGATTGATGTTCAGTCGTCTAAGGCTGCTTGAGTTCGTAGTCCCAAGAGTCGTCTTTGGGAAGTCCTTTAATGAATTCATTCTCCGCAGTGTTACTTGAGGTATTTTCAATGCTGCGTTCCAGATCTTGGATAAATATTCCAGGGAAGAAGTTTTTCATTGCATCTAGACAACAGCAAGAACAACAACCTGCCGCTGGCATCTTTGGGAAATCGAACGTCGGATAGGCAACGCTCGACAACTGTGAGAAATGGTATTTATGGGGACGTGTTACAATTGTTGTGCTTCAAACCACCTTTAGAAGCTAACACCCACATTATTAGCGCAACCAATCAGTTTGGGGA